GGGAGAGCCCTTTCTAACGCAGATAGTGGGCGCGCGAAAGCCGCCGAAGTAGGAGTTCCTTCGCTGATCTATCGAATGAACGGTTAGGTCATAGTGGCTGGACCAGAATGCGCCAAATGGCCCCTGTTCCACCGGGGATCCACACGCTTTGCGTCGGACCGAGGTGCAGTCAGATAGTGCCTATTTGGCATCCTCGAGCGCTCCAGATCAGTCGCGCGTTCCAAACCGCGAGCAGTTCGGGCGACCATGATGCGCGAGCCTGCGACGATTCCGCGCGCTCGCGCGGGAAGCCGCTGCGCTCCGCGGCTTGGAGGGGGGCCGCTCCGCGTGAATCGGCGCGCCGACGGCGCGTTCGACAGTCGAGCATGTCAGCGGGGCGGGGGGCCTCGCCCCGAAGCCTTGCGCAATGCGCCTGGGGCCCCCGATCCTGGGCGGTCGACTGCGGGGAGTCGAGGCCCAATCCCGCGCCCGGCTCCGTTTGCCTTCGCCGCGCGCGCAACGCCCTGGGCCCGAGACCCTTGCCCACTTGCCCTCGACCTGGAATCCGAGATGTCGCGCCCTGCGCGGCGCGCCCGTGATCCGAGACGTGAACCTTCGACGCTAAAGTCGCGGCCCTAGACTGTGGGGCAAGCGTCATAGATCCTGAGCGCGCGCCAGACCTTCGACAGTCCAGGGCCTAGGGCCGAGGCTCGACCCTGCGCCCTGCGCCCTGCGCCCCCCGCCCCGCGGACTCCGCCGCGCCATCCCAAGTTTCGGCGCGTCCGCCCCTCGCAGCGCGTGGCCCGTCGGGCCCGCGAGGTTCACCGGGGGGGGGGGGGCGGCCGCGGGGGGGGGCGGGCGGCAGCGGTGCTCATGTCTGGTCTGCTGGGCAGGGATATCCGCGCTCGCGGGCCGCGCGCGGCTCGGAAGACTTGGTGGGCCGCGAGGGCCGCGCGGCTCGCTGGGCCCATATAGCCCGACGAAGGCATCTATACACCGCCACCGTGTCAGGCCTCAGGATGGTGTATAGACCCTCCTGGCCTCGGCCAGGAGGGCTTATACACTATGCCAGGGCCAGGATGGCCCTGGCATGGCACGGTGGTGGTGGATGGATGCCTTCAGCGTATGTAGCCAACTGTGTTCGTGGTGCCTCGGCGGAGCTGCCGTTCGTTTCGACGGGGCCTCTGATTGCGGCGGGAGGCTTCCCCTTCGCCGCCGGCAGGGGGCCCCCCCGAGAGGCGCCCCGGGGCCCCGGGCTGGCGCGGGGACTTCCTGGGGCAGGAGTGCCAGAACGAGTCGCATGAGCACGCGACTGGAAGACGGGATGCAATCTCCACGCGCGGCGGGCCAGGGCCATGCCAGGCATCGAGCCAGTCGTAGAACGCGATATGCGTGTTCGCCGGTCTCGCGGCGATCACGCGCTCCGCGCGCGCAGCGTGCGCCTGATTCATTCGAGCCGAGATCACCACGGCAGTGTGTGTCATCCGGTTTTTCGTCGTCTTATTCTGCCCCCAGCAACGCTGCATTCGCGTTTTCCCAGAGGGCGCCGATGGAACATGCATTATTCTCCAGCCGTTTCGTGCGAACAAATCACCATCTATCCCCCTTTGTCATCAAGTTTGGTATCGAGTTTTTCTGCGCGTGATCTGGCGCGGACGAAAGAGCGCAGCGCGCGGGGAACTCCAAGCGCGCGCCATTGCGCGATCGGATTGAAGTACCTGGCCTCAACTTGCAGCCTGGCTGCTGCGCTCCACCCGCGTCAGGCTAAAATGACGGGCGCGTGCGCTCCTCGCGGGGTGCGGTGCCCGGGCGCATTTCCGCGCGCGCAGAACCGCGCTGGGGCCTCTGTCGGGGTCCTGATTCTCTTGCCGCCCCCGCGTAGTATGCGCGGGGCTGATGGTGGACGCGCGCCGGCTGGATGCCGCCCAGATGATTGCGTGCTCCCTTCCACTCCTCCTTCTGTCGCCAGTTTGGGCCGAGACTCGGGGAATCGGCCCGCTGCGTGCCGTCGCCGGGCGCCCCGTGCAAAATGCGGTTATGGCCGCGATCATTGCGGCGGGTCGCGTTCGCGTGAAGATCAGTCGAAGTGTTGGAAGTTTCCGCGGAACCTCGGACGGCCGTCGGGGGTCCGTCTGGCGGGTCGCGTGGGGCGATCGCGCTTTATGGTCTCGTTCGGGGCTCTGCGACGTTCCGCGGGAATCCAGCTGGCCCCCGATGGGCCGGCGGGATTCGCGCGCCGCCAGCTCTCGGCGGCCGCGACCATGCGCGCGTGTTCGCCGCGGAAGCAAGCGCGCGAGCGGGCCTGCCTGACATCGGGATGTTTCGGCGGCCGCAGCGCGCGCATGCCGCGCCGCATTTGCCCCGCGCGTCGAGCTATTGCTTGCGTTTGGGCGTCGTCTCTTGCGCGGGCTCGTCTGGCCGCGCCGTCGCGACGCCGTTTGCCTTGGCCCGGGTGCGCCGCGTCGTTGTCCGAAGGCCCCGGCCGTGATTCTGGCCTTTCTGTTCGATTTGCAGCGCTGCCGCTGCTGCAATCGAACTTCGGTCCTCCGACGCGACGCTCGGCGTCGATCGACGGAGCCTTCGGTCCTCCGTCCAAGCAGGGCGCGCAAGGCGAGGGACCTCGTGAACGGGCTTCAAGTGGCGACGTGCAGTCGCTGCGTCGCTTCTGCAGTCGCCGCGCCCGCGCTCGCGCGCAAAGTTTTGAGGCGGTCAGAACTTGCGACAGGCGCGGGCCGCCCAAACGCTCGAATGCAGTCAGCGACGTTCGGCAGCGCGATGTACGTCACGCGCGCGAGCGATGCGCTGCAGACGGGGCGCGTCTCGCCGTTGAAAGATGCGCCGTCGTTTCCCATGTTTACGTTTGGCGCCAACATGGCGGATTCCCTAATTCCAGTGGGCCCGCGCGCCCACCATCTTCGCTATAGCGGTTTTCCCAAGGAGTTCCGGCGGCCCATGGCGAGCGCTCCAACGCTGCATTCATACCAAGGAAGCTCGATCCAGCAACCCACGGCGTGCGATCAGGGTTTTGTTGTTGCATCAACCGAAGCAAGAATTGTTCAGCATTTCGAGCAGAAAACATGGGTTTTATGTTGCCGTCGCCGCTGTGGTCGTCGCCCTCGTAGCACTCGCCGCTCTCGCCGTCGCCGTCGTCGCCGTTGCCGCCGTGGTCGTCGCCGTCGTTGCCCTCGCCTTCGCCGCCTTCGCTGGCGCCGTCGCCGTCGCCGTCGCCATCGTCGCCGTCACCATCGTCGCCAACATCGTCGCCGTCGCAATCGTCATCTTCGTCGTCGCCGGCGTCGTCGTCAGCGCCTCCGCCGGCATCGTCGTCGTCGTCGTCGTCGTCGTCGTCGTCGTCGTCGTCGTCGTCGTCGCCGATGATTCGTCGTCGTGGAAGTCTTCGTCGCCGATGTCAGCGACATCGCTACCGTCCCTGTCGCCATCGTCGGCGTCGTCGCCATCGTCGGCGTCGTCGCCGCCGTCGCCGTCGGCGGCGTCGCCGCCGAGGCCGTTACCACGGTCGCCGTCGTTGTTGCCCCTGGCGTTGGCGTTGGCGTCGTCGTCGATGTCGTCGTCGATGTCGTCGTCGTCGATGTCGTCGTCATCGCCAGCGTCGCTGCCGTGTTTGCTGTCGCCGTCGCCGCGGTGTGGCCATAAGTTTTCACAAGGAAAGCATGACTATTGAGGGCGCCCTCGAGGGCGCGAAGTTATTCGCGCTTCGCGCTTCGCGGCTCGGCTCCGATTCCTCCTCATCCTCCTCTGCTCCCCTGGGAGGTGGCGCGAGAGCGCGAAGTTATTCGCACTTCGCGCTTCGCGCAGCGCGAAGCGCGAAATTGGGAGCCCTTGCTTATGACGATGACGATGATGACGATGATGATGATGATGATGATGATGATGATGATGATGATGATGATGATGATGATGATGATGATGATGATGATGATGACGATGCTGATGCTGCTGCTGATGATGAGGATGATGCTGCTGCTGATGATGTTGATGATGATGCTGATGCTGCTGGTGATGATGCTGATGCTGATGATGACGATGCTGATGCTGATGATGCTGCTGCTGATGATGATGATGGTGGTGGTGGTGATGCTGCTGATGATGATGACGATGATGATGATGATGATGATGATGCTGCTGCTGATGATGATGATGGTGATGATGATACCGATGATGCTGATGATGCAGTTGATGCAGTTGTTGATGATGATGATGATGATGATGATGATGCTGATGCTGATGCTGATGCTGCTGATGATGATGCTGATGATGCTGATTATGATGCTGCTGCTGATGATGATGGTGGTGGCGATGTTGTTGATGATGATGATGCTGATGATGATGATGATGATGATGATGATGATGATGATGATGATGATGATGATGATGATGAGGATGAGGAGGATCAGGATCAGAATGAGGGTGATGATGCTGATGCTGATGATGATGATGGTGATGGGGGTGCGCTGCGGCTGCTGATGATGGAGAGGAGATGGAGATGGAGGAGGAGGAGGAGGACGAGGAGGAGGAGGAGGAGAAAGAGGAGGATGATGAGGATGAGGAGAGGATGAGGAGGAGGAGGAGGAGGAGGAGGAGGAGGAGGAGGAGGAGGGGAGGAGGAGGAGGAGGAGGAGGAGGAGGAGGAGGAGGAGGAGGAGGAGGGGGAGGAGGAGGAGGAGGAGGAGGAGGAGGAGGAGGAGGAGGAGGAGGAGGAGGAGTAGGAGGAGGTGAAAGAAGAAGGAACAGGAACGACCCACCACGGAGATCGAGCGTCTGCTGATAGCCAGCCATGCATTGCTTTGGCTCCTGCTTCCTCAGGCCTTCCTCCTCCCTCCTTCTTCCCTCCGTGTATGCAGGGGAGGCTCTTCATGCGGGGGGATCTGGCGGTCCGTCGATCAGGCATGCAGGCGGTGAGGCAGGCAGTGAGGCAGGCAAGCAGGGATGCTGGCCGGCCTGTGCAGTGCTTCCCTGGCAAAAGCCCCCGCCGTCACGACCCACCCGACCCGACCCGAAAGGTACCTTCCCCAGCACGACACCAGCGGCCTCGACATCGAGATCTTGCCGCCCGCAGACGCTTGCCGTGTGTCCGTCGAGCGCGCCAGGAAGGGCCTGGACTCCATCTCGGTGAGATGCCCGCCCCGCGGCCTGCATATTCTCTTGCTATTGCCGCTGCTCCTGCCGCTGCTGCTCCTCCTGCCGCGGAGGCTGCTCCAATCACCGCCGCGAGCGGGTCTGCGCGCAGGATGTGCCCCCCCCCCCCCCCCCCACTCCCTGTGCATACGTCAACAGTGGCGCGGCACGTGGGCACGTGGGGTTATCCGCACAGCGCCCTTGCCCCTTCGCCTCGCCCCCCCCCGCTCCCCCTCGCTCCTCCTCCTCCTCCTCCTCCTCCTCCTCCCCCTCCTCCTCCCCCTCCTCCTCCCCCTCCTCCTCGTCCTCCTCCTCGTCGTCGTCCTCCTCCTCCTCCTCCGCCTCCACCTTCCTCGTCCTCCTCGTCCTCCTCCTCCTCGTCCTCCTCCTCCTCCTCCTCCTCCTCCTCCTCCGCCTCCACCTTCCTCGTCCTCCTCGTCAGCTTTCGCTCGCATTTGTGGGTCGAGTTTCGTGACAGTTTCGCTGCATGCTGGCGCACCGAGGTACTGATGCTCAAGACGGGCTTTCTTTCCCCTGAGCTCGCGCCGCGGACATTTGACCTAAGCTCGGCTTTTTCTTTGGGCGCCGCTTCTGTGTGTGGAGAAAAACGTGGGCACAGAAGTGTGCATCCGCCAGGCGTCGCTGCTCTCCATCGCATTTTCTCTACTCATCATTCCGTCTACCCGTCTACACGACCTGCCTGCGTACCTCTCTCTCTATATATATATATACATATTTGTATATCCACATCACCCCCTCATACCTTCTCCCTCCCCATCTCCCTCCCTCCTTCCTCCTCCCTCCTCCTCGCGGGAACTGCGAGACGCTTCACCTGGCGTTCGACGACGACCCGACCTCCCTTCTTTCCAATTCCTCCTTCTTTTTTTGTTTTATAGTTTTTTTTTCTCCCTCTCTCTCTCTCTCTCCCTCTCTCTCTCTCTCCATCTCCCTCCACGTCCCACTCCATCGCGCGCATTCCTGTGCCCCGCGCCGCGCTGCACCACTTGCGCCCGCCGTGCACCGCCTGCGGGCGAAGGTCACTGGGAACGTCCTCCGCGACTACAACACCGACCTCTTCCCGATCCTGGAGCTGGGCACCAGCGCGAAGATGCTGTCGATAGTCCCCATGCTCGCAGGCGCTGGGCCGCAGCGCGGCGAGTTTCGTCAGTGTCATCGGTGGGATAGGGGGGCATCGGCGGCAGGGCTCGGATGATCACCCTGAAGCTCCGCGATGTCCCAGGATCGTCCCCGGAGCTTGCTGCGACGTTCCGCCGTTTCCAAGCACCCCCCACCCCGAGGAGGAGGAGGAGGAGGCGGAGGAGGAGGAGGAGGAGGAGGAGGCGGAGGAGGAGGAGGAGGAGGAGGAGGAGGAGGAGGAGGAGGAGGAGGAGGAGTAATCAAAGGAGGAGGAGGAGGAGGAGGAGGAGGAGGAGGAGGAGGAGGAGGAGGAGGAGGATAATGAAGAGGAGGAGGAGGAGGAGGCAGGAAGGGAGGAGCAAGGTGTTGGGGGGAGACGGAGAAGGATAAGGATGCGCGAGGTTCGGAGGCGGACGGGTCCTGGCTCCACCTGAGGAGCGCAGACCCCCGACCGTGAGGACGAAGAGGACGACCGCAGACCACGACGGCGGAAGAGGCGACCACCTGGAGCACGAAGGCGGCGGCCGCACATGGCCGCCGCGGCCCAGCAGCGCGGGCGCGGCTGGGGCTGCGCCAGGCGGGCCTGCGCCAGGCAGGAGGCGGCCCGCGGCGTGCGTCTCCAGGGCCCTCCGGCGACGGCACCCTCGGCGGCCTCTCGGCGGCCAGCTCCGTCGAAGACAGCCGCTCCACGAGCAACTCGCAGCACGACCACGCGCAGCGATCGGGCCCCAGCAGCAGGTCAGCGGGATGTAGGCCGCGGTCGCGCGCGCCTTCAGGGCGGGCCCGCGCCAGCCTGCGGGAGGCGAGCAGCGCGTGCAGCACAGCGAGCGGCTGCACCAGCAGCGCCGAGAGCAGCACGGCGGAGCCGCCCAGCAGCGCCGAGACCACCCATGGCGGCGGGTGGGCGTGCCCAGCTGGTCGGCGAGGCCGCAGCTGCCAGCGCAGGCAGCCACGGTGCGGGCGTGGCGGCGGCTTGGCCTGCGGCGAGGCGAGTGGACGCGGACAAGCCTTAAGTCGGGCCTGTCCCCCTACAGGGGGATTTTCGACGAAAAATGAAAAATACCCAAAGAATAATAAAACAATAGTCCAAAAATAGTCAGGGGACTCTTTTTTTGAGTATTTTTGGGCCTTTTTTTCTGTTATTAGAAAACATTTTTCGTCGAAAATCCCCTTGTAGGGGGACACGCCCGACATAAGACAAGCCCATCATACCGAGGCCTGAGCTGGGTTAACTGGAGAAGAATCAGGGCTGTTTGGACAGTTTTGATAACTCCGTGGATCATTTAGAGCATGCATCCCGGCAAACACGCAACCACCTTAGCAACGGCATAGACGCCTTGGGTTGTTTGGACTGTTTCGATAACCCCGTGGCTCATTTAGAGCATGCACCCAGGCAAACACGCAGCCACCTCAGCAACGGCATAGACGCCTTGTTGAGGACATGGCCCTGTGCCTCCCATTCGTGCACGCTCCTCCTGAGGACGGGGGAGGGACACTACCAGTGGCACTCGGGAGGCCGACGAGCTGGAGGAGACAGGCAAATGAGGGGGATGGGGGTGAGGGCGGAAGGCAAGAGGAGGCGGGTGAGAAGGAGCAAAATGAGGATCGTGATGATGATGATGATGATGATGATGCTGATGGTGATGATGATGATGATGATGATGATGCTGATGCTGACGCTGATGATGACGACGATGATGATGCTGATGATGACGCTGCTGATGATGCTGATGCCGGTGATGATGATGATGGTGGTGGTGGTGTTGGCGGTGGTGGTGATGGTGATGATGACAATGACGATGACGATGTCGATGGTGATGACGATGTTGATGATGCTGCTGCTGATGCAGATGATGATGATGATGATGATGATGATGATGATGATGATGATGATGATGATGATGATGATGAGGATGATGATGATGATGACGATGAGAAAGATGGTGACAGTGATGTTGATGGTGATGGTGATATGGTGATGATGATGATGATGGTGGTGATGATGCTGTGATGATGATGACGGTGATGATGATGACAATGATGATGATGACGATGGTGATGGTGATGATGATGGTGATGATGATTAGTCTTATGGTGATGATGACGATGACGATGACGATTGCGATGGCGATTATGCTGCTGCTGATGATGAGAAAGAGCGTGTTCTACCGCTGCTGGCGGAAAACCGGGGGGGGTCACTACCGGTTCGAACCCCACCCCACCCCCCCCCCCCCCCCTCCAGAAAACCGGGGGGGGTCACTACCGGTTCGAACCCCTCCTCCCCCCCCCCCCCCCTGCTCATCATGAAAAGGGGGGGGGGTCACTACCGGTTCGAACCCCTCCCCCCCCCCCCCCCCCCCTCCGGATCCGGAAAACCAGGGGGGGTCACTACCGGTTCCCCCCCCTTCCCCCCCTCGAAAACCGAGTGGGGGTGCGGACAGTGGTGGGGACGGTGTTGGTGGGGACAGTGGTGAGGGGACAGCGGGACAGTGGTGGGGA